ACAATTTCAGGAATTTAACGTGACCACATGAGACCCTGCTTGATGTAAAAACATTCTTGCTTTTTGAATATCCTTGGGGGATCCCCTAGGTATGCTAGCTCGTTGAGCATCTGACTCTGATTTCAGCCTGTAGTCATGATCTCACCACTGCTGTGAGTTCAATGGTCCCTTCCTTGGCGTGACACAGACAGCACAGAGCCCGCTTGGGGATTCTCTCTCTGTGTCTGCCCCCTCCGATCTGTAAGCGCGTGCATGCTCTTCTCTCTCACCAAAATTAAAAATTTGTCTGGAGCTTCTTGGGAGGGCTCAGTCGCTAAGTGTCCACTTCAGGTCAGGCTCATGAGGTCTCAGTGGTTCGGTCACCTGGTGAGCCTGCTTCTAGAATCTGTGTTCCCCTCTATTTCGCCCTCCCCCCCACTTGTGTCTGCGTGTGTGTGTGTGTGTGTGTGTGCTTATCTCGTCAAATAAATAAACATAAAAAAATCTTTTTTTTTGTTATATCTTGCCACTTCCTCCTGCCGCTCTCTTTCTTTATCCTCCTTTTCAACACTGTTGTGTCCTTCCTGCCTCGGAAAGAGGAAGGAAGTGTCTTTCTTTCTCACTGAACTGCACACTTAACCTCCAACCTCCTCCAGCTCTGTTCTGTCAGTCTGAGCTAGCAGCCCTTGCACATGTGCAGCAACAGAGCTCGGCCGGGACTACATGGCCCCTGGGAGGCTCACCTTCCTCTCTGGCTGCCATGGTGGGAGGAGAGGAGAAGAGCTCCAGCCTCCGGCACTTGGAAAGTAAACCAGATAGGGAAAAAAACAGAGTAGCTCATGCCTAGATCGGCAAAGGCAGGCATGAGTGTAATTTGTCTACCCCAAAGAGAGGATTTCACTAAACCCAGTCAAGAACTGTGATTTTAAAGTTTAATTCTCTGCTGATAGTAATTGTAAATGGCAACTACAGAGGGTCACCTGTGCAGACTTTTGGCCCATGTCACGATCTCACGGGCCATGAGGTCAAGCCCCGCGTCGGGCTCTGTGCTGACAGCTCGGAGCCTCGGAGCTGCTTATCCTGTGTCTCCTCTCTCTCTCTCTCTGCCCCTCTCCGCACTGTCTTTGTCCTATCAAAATAAACATTAAAAAAAAAAAAAATTAAACAAAAAGAGAGATGGGCAATTTGCAGGCATTACACATTTCTCTGGCAAAAGCCCAGGGACAGGGCCCCCCTGAGTTGCGAGGGAGGTTAGGAAATGGAGCCCGGCTCCGTGGGCACATGCCTTGCGGCCACACCGTGACACTGAAAGAAGACGGGCGCCGTTTGGGTGCCGCTGCAGTTTGCAGGCCACCGTCCAGTGAAGGAGAGCTCTGAGGAGCACACGTGGGGCTGATGCCATCAGGCCAGCCCCGGGTGGCTTTGAACTTGGTGGGAGGCTGTCGCAGGCCCCAGGTAGAACAGGGGGGCAGAGTAACTGGGCTCTGGAGTTGGAGGCTTGGATGTGTCTGGGCAGGTGGTGCGACATGCTGGCCATGTGACCTTGGACACATTACACACACTCTCTGAGCTAAGGCTGTGATAAGAGCTAGAACACTGTAAACTGTGATAATATTGTGATGGTTTGGGGTGGGGGTTAAAGTTTATTTATCTTGAGAGAAAGCGGGCACACAAGCAGGGGAGGAGCAGAGAGAGAGGGAGAGCGAGAGGAACCCAAGCAGGCTTCTCCCTGTCAACGTGGACCCCGACGAGGGGCTTGATCCCATGAACAGTGAGATCATTAGCGGAGCTGAAATCAAAAGTCAGACGCTTAACCGACAGAGCCACCCCAGGCATCCAATGATGTTTTGTTTTAAGATTTTATTTTGTTTTTTAAAAGCAATCTCTGCACCCAACGGGGGGCTCAACCTCACAACTCCAAGATGGAGAGCCACGTGCTCCACTGACAGAGCCAGCCAGGTGCCCCTATTGTAATGGTTTTCATTGGGAGCCCCCAGTAAATGGTAAGAATTCCAGGCACTCAGGTCACCAGAAGGTGGGCCCAGGCTGACCTCAGACCAGATAGGGACATTAATGGGTACAAACTCTCCTCGGCTTCATTGCCAATCAAGGAACCCCTCTTTGGCCAGTTTGTAACCCCCACTTAGCAACTGAGATGGGTAAGAAAAACAAACACCGTCCGTGAGAGTGGTCAGGCCAGCACTCCTGGGGGAGGTGGCCCCCGACTTCTGGCACCAGTCCCCTGGAGATGACCCCAAGAGGGGCCAGGCAGGCAAAAACTCCCGGTAGAAAGGTGGGGGTGCAGCACCAAGGAAGTGGGTGTGGTGGTTGGAGTTGGGGGACCGATCAGAAGTCTGGCCCCTGACCTCAAGGAGCTCCCTGTGTAATGGGGTTAGGCTGAGAAGCAAATCAACAACCACGACAAAGCACAGGGGAGGGAGAGCCGTGATCCAAGCCTGTGGGGGATGTGGACGAGATCAGGGGACGAGGTGGGGGTAGGGACTAGGAGGTGGGGGGTTGGGAGTGGTATGAAAACCCCCCAGCCAGTCAAGAGGCAAGGGGGAGGCAAGGAAAGACTCCAAGAGACAGTGCTCGGCCTGGGCCCGGAGCGGGCTTAGCCAACCCTCGGGAACTGGTTGCTCCTGGCCACGAGGGAATAAGCCTTCCAGGCCAAGGCCAATAACAGCACAGCTTTTTCTCCAAGTGCGGGGCTGGGCTGTGGAAGCCCCCAGGGAGAAGAAAGCTAGTGGACAGGGAGGGCCCGGGGTCGGGGGGCTCTCCCCCAGACCGGGAAGGAAGCCACTGAAGGACCCTGGACCAGCAGGGGACAGAAGGCTGCTCTCCAGGGGGGTCACGCGGGGAGCAGTTTGAAAGGAGGCGAGGAGGGCCCGTGAGGACGA